TCTTGGATTTCTCTTTCTGGATTTTGTTTTTTTTTTTGTATTTTTTGGATTTTGTGGATTTTTTAGATTTTTGAATACTTTGGATTTTTTAGATTCTCTCGATTTTCTGGACCCTCTGGATTTTCTGAATTCTTTGTATTCTTTGGAGTCTATGATTTTTTTGGATTTTTTCAATTTTTTAGGATTTTTCGAAATTTATTTTTTTTTAATATACAAATTTTTTATCAATTTTTTCGGATTTTTTTGATTTTTTGGATTTTCTTGATTTTCTAGGCTTTCCGGATTCTCTGATTTTACTGGATTATTTGAATTTTTCGATTTTTTTAATCTTCCGGGTTCTTTGAGTTCTTTGGATTTTTGGATTTCTTGGATTTCTTGGATTTTCCGGATTTTCCGAATTTTCTGAATTTTTTGGATTTTTTGAATTTTTTTGGATTTTTTCGATTTTTTGGATTTTCTTGATTATCTAGGCTTTCCGGATTCTTTTGTTTTACTGGATTATCTGAATTTTTCGGATTTTTTAATATCCTGGATTCTTTGAATTTTTTGGATTTTCTTAATTTTCTGGATCTTTTTGGATTTTTCTAGAGTTTTTGAATTCTCTGGATTTTTTGGATTTTCTGGATTTTCTAGGGTTTCTGGATTCACAGGATTTTTTGGATCATCCGGATTTTTCGGATTTTTTTATTTTCTGGATTTTTTAATTTTTGGATTTTTTGGATTTTTTTGATTTTTTGGATTTTTTGGACTTTTTGGATTTTTTGGATTTTTTGGATTTTTTGGATTTTTGGATTTTCTGGATTTTTTGGATTTTTGGATTTTTTGGATTTTTTGGATTTTTTGGATTTTTTAGATTTTTGTTGGATTTTTTAGAATTTTCGGATTTTTTGGATTCTTTGAATTTTTTGAATTTTCTGGATTTTCTTAATTTTGTGGACTTTTTTGGATCTTTTGTATTTTTTTTTGATTTGTTGGATTTATTGAATTTCTTGTATTTCCTTTGCTTCGTGCTTTTCCCGAAATTCTTGGATTCCACTTTCTGGATTTTTTTTATTTTTTTTTGTTTTTTTGGATTTTTTAGATTTTTTGGATTTTTTGGATTTCTTGGACTTCTTGGATTTCTTGGATTTCTTGGATTTTCTGGATTTTCTGAATTTTCTGAATTTTCTGAATTTTTTTGTATTTTTTGGATTCTTTGGATTCTTTGGATTCTTTGGATTCTTTAGATTCTTTGGATTCTTTAGCTATTTTGGATTCTTTAGATTCTTTGGATTATTTGAATTTTTTGTATTTTTTGTATTTTTAGATTTTTTAGATTTTTCGAAATTAATTTTTTTTAATATAAAATTTTTTTGGATTCTTTGGATTTTTTGTATTTTTTTGGATTTCTTGGAATTTTTTGTATTTTTTGTATTTTTTGTATTTTTTGGATTTTTTGGATTTTTTGTATTTTTTGGATTTTTTTTGGATTTTTTGGATTTTTTGGATTTTTTGGATTTTTTGGATTTTTTGGATTTTTTGAATTTTTTGGATTTTTTGGATTTTTTGGATTTTCTTGGATTTTCTTGATTTTCTAGGCTTTCCGGATTCTCTTGATTTACTGGATTATCTGAAATTTTCGGATTTTTTGAATTTTTTTGGATTTTTCGAAATTAATTTTTTTTTAAATACAAATTTTTATCAATTTTTTCGGATTTTTTTGATTTTTTTGGATTTCATTGGATATTTTGGATTTTCTTGATTTTCTAGGCTTTCCGGATTCGCTGGTTTTACTGAATTATTTGAATTTTTCGGATTTTTTAATCTTCCGGATTCTTTGACTTCTTTGGATTTCTTGGATTTCTTGGATTTCTTGGATTTTCCGGATTTTCTGAATTTTCTGAATTTTTTGGATTTTTGAATTTTTTTGGATTTTTTCGATTTTTTGGATTTTTTCGATTTTTTGGATTTTCTTGATTATCTAGGGTTTCCGGATTCTCTTGTTTTACTGAAGTATCTGAATTTTTCGGATTTTTAATCTTCTGGTTTCTTTGAATTTTTTGGATTTTCTGGATTTTCTTAATTTTCTGGATCTTTTTGGATCTTTCGTGTTTTTTTTTTGAATTTTTGGATTTATTGAATTTTTTGGATTTCCTTTGCTTTGTGCTTTTTCCGAAATTCTTGGATTTCACTTTCTGGATTTTGTGGGTTTTTTGTTTTTTGATTTTTTGAATTTTCTGGATTTTTTAGATTTTTGAATACTTTGGATTTTTTAGATTCTCTCAATTTTCTGGACTTACTGGACTTATTGGATTTTTTGGATTTTTTGGATTTCTTGGATTTCTTGGATTTCTTGGATTTCATGGATTTCTTGGATTTCTTGGATTTCTTGGATTTTCTGGATTTTCTGAATTTTTTGGATTGTTTGGACTCTTTGAATTTTTTGTATTTTTTACGATTTTTTTGGATTTTTCGAAATTTATATTTTTATTATAATTTTTTTTTGGATTTTTTGGATTCTTTAGATTCTTTGGATTTTGTGGATTTTTTGGATTTTCTAGGTTTTCCGGATTCTCTGGTTTTTCTGGATTATCTGGATTTTTTGGATTTTTTAATCTTCTGGATTCTTTGAATTTTTTGGATTTTCTGAATTTTCTGGATTTTTTTGGATGTTTTGGTTTTTTTTTTTTGATTTTTTGGATTTCTTGAATTTCTTGGATTTCTTTTGCTTTCTGCTTTTACCGAAATTCTTGGATTTCTCTTTCTGGATTTTGTTTTTTTTTTTGTATTTTTTGGATTTTGTGGATTTTTTAGATTTTTGAATACTTTGGATTTTTTAGATTCTCTCGATTTTCTGGACCCTCTGGATTTTCTGAATTCCTTGGATTCTTTGGAGTCTATGATTTTTTTGGATTTTTTCAATTTTTTTGGATTTTTCGAAATTTATTTTTTTTTTAATATACAAATTTTTTATCAATTTTTTCGGATTTTTTTGATTTTTTGGATTTTCTTGATTTTCTAGGCTTTCCGGATTCTCTGATTTTACTGGATTATTTGAATTTTTCGATTTTTTTAATCTTCCGGGTTCTTTGAGTTCTTTGGATTTTTTGGATTTCTTGGATTTCTTGGATTTTCCGGATTTTCTGAATTTTCTGAATTTTTTGATTTTTTGGATTTTTTCGATTTTTTGGATTTTCTTGATTATCTAGGCTTTCCGGATTCTTTTGTTTTACTGGATTATCTGAATTTTTCGGATTTTTTAATATTCTGGATTCTTTGAATTTTTTGGATTTTCTTAATTTTCTGGATCTTTTTGGATTTTTTCATTTTTTTTTTGAATTTTTGGAATTATTGAATTTTTTTGGATTTCCTTTGTTTTGTGCTTTACCCGAAATTCTTGAATTTCACTTTCTGGATTTTGTGGGTTTTTTGTATTTTTTTGATTTTTTGGATTTTCTAGATTTCTTAGATTTTTGAATACTTTGGATTTTTTAGATTCTCTCAATTTTCTGGACTTACTGGATTTTATTGGATTTTTTGCATTTTTTGGATTTTTTGGATTTCTTGGATTTCTTGGATTTCATGGATTTCTTGGATTTTTTGGATTTCTTGGATTTCTTGGATTTTCTCAATTTTTTGAATTTTTTTGGATTCTTTGGGTCTTTGGATTCTTTGGACTCTTTGAATTTTTTGTATTTTTTGTATTTTTTTCGATTTTTTTTTTTCGAAATTTATTTTTTTTAATATAAACATTTTTACCAATTTTTAAGATTCTGCTTATTACATTTTTAATTTGTTTTGTCAGGGTATTTATTAGTATTTTGAAATTCAGGGTTTTCATGGTTTTATTTTGAAAATTTTGAAAATTCTGTACCTTTAAGAACCGTTAAGATTTTTTAATTTGCCGAAAATTTGAAACTAAATAATTTTTTTAAAACAGAATTTAAGTTTTCAAATAATATTAAAAAAAAAATGCGGTTATTAAAATATCAATAAAAAGGTGAAGATCACAATCAATTTGAAATTTATTTAATGCCCAATTCTATCTAACCGAAAACGCTTCAGTTCGAAAAGATTTTTAATTTTCTTTTTATATCAAAAATTTTACCGATTGTTGAGATCCTGTTAATTATTACCCTCTTAATTTGTGTTTTCTGGTGAAGTTGTATATTAGAAAGTTTTACGAAAATTCAGAAAATGTGTTTTCCAATTTTATTGCTCCAAATTTTCCTTAAATCCGCGAACTTGTTGCTTCAGTTAAGTATTAAAACACTCGTCAGGTTTGAGATGTTTTCATGAATAAAATTTTCCCTTGATTTTGAGCATCCCCCACACTTTGAGAACCTCTGCTCCAACCTCCAACTTCGCACACATCCCCAACTCAATCTCCGCTCCATACCACTTCATTAAAACCCCCATCTGCCCCGAAATTCCTAACGACAAACCCACCCCCGGTAATTCCACCCCGTACCCCACTTAAGAGTCTAGACGGGATTCGCTGACCTTCGCTATTCGGACTGACCGTGAAAATAGCTTTTCATTCACTTCATTGCCGACAAAAACCGCCCCAATCTACCCTTTAATCTTTCTAACGTGATGCTCGCTAGGTTATTCGTTGTTTATGCTCGCCGCCCCCGGTTCACGTATGTTGCGTGAAAAATCGCCGCGAAATTTGTAACGTGATGCTGTTAGCGAGTACGTGGACGAGTTTAATGAATGTTGTTGGGGGCGGCGAAGGGGCTTTCCACGTCCCGCACAAATTTATTGGACGTTTTCGTTTTTATTCGACTTGGAAGTTGCGAGGAGCTATTTAGGGGCGGGGGTTGGGATTGAGATTTTATTAATCCTGAAGGGTAGTCAACGCAGGAAACGCAACTTTGCAGATTCCTGAGGGGGTTAATTAGGTTTGTGATTGGGTCGGGATAGGACTTGAACTTGAACTTGGTTGAGTGACCTCTGGATTTTTAGTCAAAGAATGACCAAACTTTTTCGATTATATAAAAAAAAAATAGGTGATAATGTTAATTTAGAAACATTTTAATTTAGAAACATTTATTTAAACTTATGGCCTTAAATAAAAATAAATTAAATCAACACATTGTACAAAATTCGGGATCACAGCCTTGGCCCCTAATGCAGATGGATACCATGATGGGCAACAGCCAAGGGGGCGGCGTGGACGGCGTGGACTACGGGGGCGGCGTGGACGACAGGTACGGCGGCTTTAACAATGGGGGTGGCGTGAACGACAGGTACGGGGTGAGCGACGACGGAGTGGTGGCTAGCGTAAGAGTGAGCTACGGCTACGGGGGCGGCGTGCACCACGGGAGCGGCATGGACGGCATGGGCCACCACGGGGGCGGCGACGAGACCGGGGGCGGCATAAGCGCAGGCCAAGAGGGCGGCGAAAGTTACCTTTAGGGTAAAAAATTATTATGGTTGGAGTGGTGCAAGGTTTTCGCGGAACTCACCAGACGGAACATTTTGTTGTTTTGGTTGATTGAGCTTGAGTACAGATGAAGCTATGATTTTCGTTATGGTGGTGTCGAATTTATATGGGTGTTCCCCACTTTTTGATAACCTTGCAGTGTTGCGTTCGGAGAATTTTGGTAGAAAGTTTGATGGGTTTGTTGTTAAAGGGGTTTTGTGGATGGGTGTCGAAGGTTTTAAAAAATTGAGGCTTTCAATTTTGTATATTCCATGGTTTCATCTTTATTATAAATTTAATTGTTAATTGCTGTATAATTTCCTTTTTTTAAATTTTTAAATATTTTGGATTTATTTCTTCTTGTTGCTTCCCTTTTTTAGAAAAATTTGTCGATATTCTTAAAATTTTGTTTTCTTTAGTAAACTTTGTCTAAAAACCGTAATCGAATTTTATAGTAAAATTTTTCCCACTGCTCGATTTTAGAAAATATTTTATGTATTTCTTGGTTTTCGTACTATTTTTCTACGTTTTTTGAATTTTTTAGTTATTGATTTTGTATTTATTACATTTTGACTCTAATTTTTAATTTTGTAAGAAAACAGTAAATAATAGAATTTTGAACAAAGAAAATCCAACAAATAAATTAAATCACATTTACCTTTGACCAAATTTTTGGTATCACAGTTTTTCGATTTTACAATTTTTCGTTTTTCGACTTTAATTTTTTCAATTTTTGAATTTTTCGCCTTCCAAATTTTTCAAATTTTCGTTTCCTCAATTTTTCAAGTTCTTGATTTTTAATTTTCATTTTCCTGAATTTTCAATTTTCATTTTCTCGATTTTATATCACAAGTTGTAATTGTTCTATTTCCTTTATTTTTTTCAATGTTTCTTTCGATTTTATAATTTCTCTTGTATTCAACTTTTCAAATTTTCAATGTTTCGATTTTACAATATTTTGTTTTTTCGATTTTTAAGTTCCTCGATTTTTAATCCCTCGATTTTTCAATTTTCAAGTTTTTGGTTTCCAGTTTTTTAATTTTTCAAAGTTATCCTTTTTTATTTTTGGTTTTTTCATTTTGTATTTTTAGTTTTACAATTTTGCAAAGTTTCTATTTTTTTATTCGAAAAGTTGGAAAATCGAAAAACTAAAAATCGAAAATTTGTAAAAATGAAAAATTAAAAACCGAGAAACTTCAAAAACGAGAAAAACTAACGAATCGAAAAATTGGAAAGAAGAAGAAAGGAATTGAATCGAAAAATTGGAAAATCCAAAAATTGTAAAATCGAAAAATTATGGAATTGTCAAAATTGTAAAGTGGAAAAATAGTAACATTGAAAGATTGAAAAATTGAAAAATTAAGTATCGTGAAATTGAAAAATAAAAAATCGAATATTGAAAAAGCTTTACAATCCAATAACTGAACAATGGAAAAATTTTGAAATTAAAAAAAGTGGAAAATTTTTAAAATTTCCAATTATATTTAAAATAAAAACTAGAAAAATTGCAAATCAAAAATTGAGGAAACGAAAAATTGAAAAATCAATAAACTGAAAAGAGGAAAAATTCAAAAATCTAAAAATTGAAATATCCAAAAATTGAAAATTTCCGCACTGAAAAAAAGAAAAATTATAAAATGAGAATTAAAAAAATGGAAAAATAAAGGAAATAAAAGGCCGAAACGAAAAACTAAAGAAATAAAAAACTGAAATTTCGTAAAATCGCAAGTCAACAATTATCAAATTTCAAAATTCAAAATTTGGAAAATCAAGTCCTTGATTTTCATTTTTGATGTTCTCGATTTTTTAATTTTCATTTTCTCGAGTTAATATCACAATTTTTCGTTTTTTCATTGAATTTATTTTTTAGATATTTCTCTCGATTTTATAATTTTTCTTTTATTCAATTATTCAAATTTCCATCTTGATTTTTCAAATCCTCGATTTTCGAATTTTTAAATTTTTCAAAATTGTAAAATCATTGGATTCCTAATATTCGATTTTTGAATTGTTTGTTTTTTCAATTTTTCAAGTTCTTGACGTCATTTAACTATTTTGCAATTTTTCCATTTTTTTTTATTCGAAAAGTTAAAAAATCGAAAAACTGAAAAATTGAAAAATTAAAAATCGAAAAAATGAAGAAATTGAAAACTGAAATCTCGTGAAATTGCAAATCAAAGATGGTTGTAAAATCTAAAAATCCAAAATTTGGAAAATCAAGTTTTTGATTTTTATTTTTGATGTTCCCGATTTTTTAATTTTCATTTTCCTGAATTTTCAATTTTCATTTTCTCGATTTTATATCACAAGTTTAAATTGTTCTATTTCCTTTATTTTTTTTAATGTTTCTTTGGAATATATAATTTTTCGTGTATTCAATTTTTCAATCTTTGATTTTTCAATTCCTCAGTTTATCAGTTTTTCAATTTTGCAATTTTTGGATTTTATAATGTCCGATTTTCGGATTCCTTTAATTTTCAATATTTCGATTTTACAATATTTCGTTTTTTCGATTTTTAAGTTTCTCGATTTTTAATCCTTCGATTTTTCAATTTTTCAAATTTTTGCTTTGCAGTTTTTTAATTTTCAAAGTTATCATTTTCTACTTTTTGGTTTTTTCATTTTGTATTTTTAGTTTTACAATTTTGCAAAGTTTCTATTTTTTATTCGAAAAGTTGGAAAATCGAAAAGGTGGAAAATCGAAAATTTGTAAAAATGAAAATTTAAAAATTGAGAAACTTCAAAAACGAGAAAAACTAACGAATCGAAAAATTGGAAAGAAGAAAAAAAGAATTGAATCGAAAAATTGGTAAATCCAAAAATTGGAAAATCCAAAAATTGGAAAATCGAAAAATTATGGAATTGTCAAAATTGTAAAGTGGAAAAACAGTAACATTGGGATTGGATTTTTTGTATTTTTTTGATTTTTTTGGATTTTCTGGATTTTTTAGATTTTTGAATACTTTGGATTTTTTAGATTCTCTCAATTTTCTGGACTTATTGGATTTTATTGGATTTTTTGGATTTTTTGAATTTCTTGGATTTCTTGGATTTCATGGATTTCTTGGATTTCTTGGATTTCTTGGATTTTTTGGATTTGCTGATTTTTTTGGATTTTTTGGATTCTGTGGATTTTGTGGATTTTTTGGATTTTCTAGGTTTTCCGGATTCTCTGGTTTTTCTGGATTTTTTTGGATGTTTTGTTTTTTTTTGAATTTCTTGAATTTCTTGGATATCTATGTAACGGCTGAATAAAGTTATTATTATTATTATCCTTTGCTTCCTGATTTTTTAAGGAAATTCTTGGATTTCACTTTCTGGATTTTGTTTTTTTTTGTAATTTTTGGATTTTTTGGATTTTTTAGATTTTTGAATTCTTTAGATTTTTTAGATTCTCTCGATTTTCTGGACTTTCTAGATTTTCTGAATTCTTTGGATTCTTTGGATTTTTTGGACTCTTTGGATTCTTTGGAGTCTATGAATTTTTTGGATTTTTTCGATTTTTGGATTTTTCAAAATTTTTTTAATATAAAAATTTTTACTAATTTTTTGATTCTTATTACATTTTTAATTTGTGTTGTCAGGGTAATTATTAGTATTTTGAAATTCGGGGTTCTCATGATGTTTTATTTTGAAAATTTTGAAAATTCTGTACCTTTAAGAAAAACGAGAAAAACTAACGAATCGAAAAATTGGAAAGAAGAAAAAAAGAATTGAATCGAAAAATTGGAAAATCCAAAAATTGTAAAATCGAAAAATTATGGAATTGTCAAAATTGTAAAGTGGAAAAACAGTAACATTGAAAGATCGAAAAATTGAAAAATTAAGTATCGAGAAATTGAAAAATTAAAAATCGAATAATGAAAAAGCTTGGATTTTAACAATAACTAAACAATGGAAAAATTTTGAAATCGTAGAATTAAAAAAAGTGAAAATTTTTTAAAAATTTCCAATTATCATTGCATATTTAAAATTAAAACTAGAAAAATTTCAAATCAAAAATTGAGGAAACGAAAAATTGAAAAATTGAGAAACTGAAAAGTCTAAAATTGAAAAGAGGAAAAATTCAAAATTGAAATATCCAAAAATTGAAAATTTTCACACTGAAAAAAAGAAAAACTATAAAATGAGAATTAAAAAAATGGAAAAATAACGGGAAAAAAGGCCGAAACGAAAAATTGAAGAAATATTAAATTAAGAAATTTAAAAATTCAAAATTTCGAAAATCAAGTCCTTTTTTCATTGAATTTATTTTTAGATATTTCTCTCGAATTTATAATTTTTCTTTTATTCAATTTTTCATATTTTCATCTTGATTTTTCAAATCCTTGATTTGCAAATTTTTAAATTTTTCAAAATTGTAAAATTATTGGATTCCTAATATTCGATTTTCTTTCGATTTTTGAATTGTTTGTTTTTTGGATTTTTCAAGTTCTTGGCGTCATTTAACTATTTTGCAATTTTTCCATTTTTTTATTCGAATAGTTGAAAAATCGAAAACTCAAAAATTGAAAAATTAAAAATCGAAAAAATGAAGAATTTAAAAACTGAAATCTCGTGAAATTGCAAATCAAAGATGGTTGTAAAATTTAAAAATCCAAAATTTGGAAAATCAAGTTCTTGATTTTTATTTTTGATGTTCCCGATTTTTTAATTTTCATTTTCCCGATTTTGTATTACAATTTTTAGTTTTTCCATTTTCTTTACTTTTTTACTGTTTCTTTCGATATTATAATTTTTTGTTTATTCAATCGTTGATTTTTCAGTTCCTCAATTTTTTAATTTTGCAATTTTTAGATTTTTAAATTATCCGATTTTCGGATTTCTTTAATTTTCAATGTGTATTTCGATTTTACAGTACATATTTCGTTTTTTCGATTTTGCACTTTTTCGATTTTTAAGTTTCTTCAATTTTTCAAGTTCTTGATTTCCCATTTTTCAATTTTACAATCGAAAAATTGAAAAAATTTAAATTGGAAATACAAAAAAATCGGAAAATTAAAGAAAATAAAAAACTGAATGAAAAATTAAAAAAATAAAATAAAAAATAACGAAAATAAAAAACCCGAAACCAAAAATTGCAAATTCTAAAAATTGAAAAATGCAAAAGTTGGAAAATTGAAAAACTGAAAAATTTAAACTTGAAAACTTGAAAACTGTGAATCGAAAATCTGAAAAAAAAATTTTTGAAAATTTTCGTTTTTTTTACTACATATAAACGTATACTAGTTTTATAAGAAAATAATATTTTTTGATAAATAAAAATAGAATTTTGAACATAAAAAAAATTAACAAATAAATTAAATAACATTTTGTTTTTTTCATTTTCTTTAATTTTTCAATTTTTCCATTTTTCATTCTTTCGGTTTAATAATTTTTTCAGTTTTTCGCTTTTTTTTTAATTTTTCGATTTGCAGTTGTTCAATTTTGCAATTTTTTAAAATTACAGATTTATCATTTTAGGATTTTTCCCGAAAATTAAAATTTCGATTGTTCGATTTTCGTTTTTTCAAACTTTTAAGTTCTTGATTTTTATTTTCATTTTCCCGATTTTATATTTTATATCATACTTATTTTCAATGTTTTCTTAAATTTTATAATTTTTCGAGAGAAACTTGATTAAAAATCGTTGAAAAAATTTAAAAACCAAAAAAACTGAAATTGTAAATGCAAAAAATTATATAATAATTTTTGCTTTTTTCTACCATTTCGTTGTTATGGGAGTTACCACAATTCCTACCCTTTACCAATCAACATAAGTTAAACACAACCATTAATTTAGTAATTTTTATTTAGATTTAAGGCCTTAAATAAAAATAAATTAGACATTGTACAAAATTTGGGATCACAGCTTTGGCCCCTAATGCAGATGGATACCATGATGGGCAACAGCCAAAGGAGCGGCGTGGACGGCGTGGACGACGGGGGCGGCGTGAACCACAGGTACGGCGGCTTTAACAATAGGGGCGGCGTGAACTACAGGTACGGGGTGAGCGACAACAGAGTGGTGGCTAGCGTAAGAGTGAGCTACGGCCACGGGGGCGGCGTGCACCACGGGAGCGGCGTGCACCACTGGGGCGGCGACGAGGCCGGGGGCGGCATAAGCGCAGGCCAAGAGGGCGGCGAGGGTTACCTTTGGGGAAAAAGCAAGAGTATTGACACAAACTGGTTTTTCACAGAACTCACCAAACGGAACATTTTGTGTTTTGGTTGATTGAGCTTGAGTGGAGATGAAGCTATAGTTTTTGATCGCAGTGGTGTCGAATTTATATGGATATTCCCCACTTTTTGCCAACCTTGCGTTCGTTGTGAGAATTTCGGCGGCCATGCATATGAATAAAATCGCATAAATTATGGGTAAATGCTGAGATTAGGAAAAGTGGGTAAATTGATGGGTGGCAGATGGATTCTGTGTCAATGATCAAGGTGAATTATAAATTAGAAAAAAAAAAGAACGAACTTCGTACGGATACTCGATTTATGTAACAACACAGTTGCAAGTTTGGAATTTATTCTTCTTGGAAGCACTTTTAATAAAACGAAAGTTCGGCTGGCCCTTTTAAATCGACGAAACGCACAGATACTTCAAGATAATTTTGACTAATGGCTGGGAAATAAGATAAACAACCCCTATCTTTTCTCCAATTCCACCCTCGAGACTTCCATCGCTATAAAAACCCCCGGCTTGATAAAACTCCTTACTTTAAACTCGTCGGTTTTAATTGTGCAAAGGTCAAGCACCATTTCCCACGACATCTGACCATTGAGGAGGGTGGCGGAGGGTGAACAACCCCCTTCGCCCCATCCGCGTAATTAAAAATTCCGCGTTTTAAGAAACCAATTAAAAGAATGTACAAACTCGATCAACGAGCAAATCTAATTATTTTCGCTCCGATATTCAAAGTCAAGGTTTGCAGATAAACGGAAATCCGTTCGAACTTCACGCTTCGTCATGTTATTTGTGTTTTGAAAAACACGACTAAATAAACAATGTTCTTCTTGGCAACGTGTGAGGACAACGTCCTGGAACAAACAGGAAGTGAACAAAGTTGGGCAAGTATGGGGGTTTATTAAATATGAAAGTTGCGGAATTAGTGTGTTTGGAATTGGATGGAAGCTGGATTGGGTTAGAAGTTTTAAATTAAATTTCACGTTTATGGTAGAAAATTTGGGAAAATTGCAAAGAAAATTTGCCACAGTTGACTGATGCGGTAAAATATAGAGCGGATATTCGGCCTAAAAAATTCCCGAAATAATGTACATACTTTTGGTTTAAATCAAGTTTATCGGAGAAGGAATCCTTTTGCCGCTACAAAGTCAAAGCAACATTTCATTACAAAGGTATTTCAAACTTCATGCAGAGCTTTTTTGTGTAATTCCACTCCACCTATGAAGATAATATTAAATACTTCAAAGCGTTGTTTTATCTGTCAAGACCATACAAGAACTCAGAAATAAAAACCTGCACTCGTTTTTCCTGGCACTGATTAATAAATGATCGTATTTTAATTTAGTTGTTGGTTAATCTTAAAAAAATCGTTATGAGTGTGCAAGAATTAGCACTAGAGAGTGAAGAAATTAATCAGGTTTAAGTCGATGGTGACATTGTGATTTCGGCAAAATTGGTCTCCTTGAGTGAAAACGTTTAAGAATTTTAGCAATTGGGTATGTGTTTAATTAAACTGTGATCTCATTGACTTACTTTTTCGTCAGATATTAGGGAATGTGGTCTTAATTTGGTGGTAAAATGGAACTTTTAGAATAAATAATGATGATGGTACTTTTTGACCAAATCTCAGGTGAATATGGTATTTGTTAATATAATAAGTATTATAAACAGCTACGAATTACAACGGCTGGATATTTTTGAGTTGTGATGTGGGTATCGAAGAAATTAGGGAGAAACCAGTTTTTGTAAGTCGAAATTTGTAAGAAAATGACTTTATTAAGTTTCGAAAAACGTCGAAAATTGGCTGAAATTTTCAGCGTATTGTCAAAAAATCCCCAAAAAATTCAAGAATTTCGACGAACCGATTCCAAGAATCTAGTGTGTTTATGGTCTTTTATACAAAAACCACAATCAAATTTTTCTTGATTTTCTGTTAATATTTTTTTTTTGGTTTTTGTTTTTTTAAAGAGTATTTTTATATATGTAACATTTTTCTTAGTATAATTTTGTGAGAATACATTATGTTAATAAATAATGGCAGCTACGTTTTTTGACACAGAAAAAAGCTAAAAATTTTGAAAATTCTACCTTTAAAAATCTTCAGATCTTCAGAACACCAGAAGTTTTTTGTAATGGTTTTGTTTGTTTTTTTTCGGACCCTTTTTTTCAGTTTCATTTTTGGGCGTATTTTGCCCTCTCTTAAAATTTCTTTTTTTGCTGGATTTTTTGGCATTTTTTTGTTGGCTTTTTTCGCATTTTTTTGTTCCTTTTTGTTGTTTTTTCGACTCCCTCTTTTATTTTTAATCGTATTTTTGCCCTCTTTTCTAATTCACCGCCTTTTTGGACACATTTTTGTTCTCTTTTTGTAGGCCTTTTTTTTCTTGTCCTTTTTTTGTTGTTGGCTGGTTGTTTTCTTTTTTGATTTTCTCTTTTTTAGTTACATGTTTTGCCATCTTTTTATCTATCAAGTTTTTTGGCACTTTTTTCGAATTTTTGTCGTTTTTTTGGAACGTTTTTCGTGTTTTGGCGCTATTTTAGGTCCTTTTTTTCAGTCTTGTCCTCTCTCTTTTTCAATCACGTTTTTTTTGTTGTTTTTTTCGTTTTTATTTTTTCATCTTTCAACTTTATCACTTTCTCGAAATTTTTTATTTTGGTTTTTTTGTAGCATTTTTTGAAATTTTTTTTGTAACTTTTTTTCTGTGTTCTCATCCCCCTTTTTTGTTGCGTTTTTTTGGCGCCATTTTTAACTGCTTGTCCTCTTCTTTTTTACTCGCCTTTTTTTGTTGAAGTTTTTCTTTAAATACTTTTATAGCGTTTTTCGTTTGGCGCTTTTTTGTTTCTTTTTTTTCAGTAGCATTTTTAATGGTAGTTATGTCCTTTTTTTGTTTTTTCTGGCGAATTTTTGACTCCTTCATTACTTTTTTTGACTCCTTCATTACTTTTTTAGTCGCATATTTTTATCCCATTTTTATCACATTTTGGACCTTTTTTTGTCGTCTTTTCTTGTAGCAGCTCTTTCTTACGTTTTTTTTTAGTAGCGTTTTTATTTTTGTTTTTGGCGCATTTTTTCCGACTTCTTTTGTCGCATTTTTTTTGTTGATCAAATCCTCAGGACACCAGAATCCTCAAATCCTCAGTGCATCAAAATCCTCAAATCCTCAGAACACCAAAACCCTCAAATCGTCAAAACACCAGAATACTCAAATCCTCAGAACACTATAATCCTTAAAACACCATAATCCTCAAATTTTCAGAACACCATAATCCTCAAATCCTCAGTTCATCAAAATCCTCAAATCTTCAGAACACCAGAACCCTCAAATCGTCAAAACACCAGAATACTCAAATACTTGTAACACCATAATCCTCAAATCCTCAGAGCATCAAAATGTTCAAATTCTCAGAACAGTAGAATCCTCAAATCCTTAGAACAACAGAATCCTCAAACCCTGAGAACTCCAGAATCCTCAGATCCTCAGAACACCATAATCCTCAAACACTCAGAACGCCATAACCCTCAAATACTCAGAACATAATAATCCTCGAATTTTCAGAATAATAGAATCCTCAAATCCTCAGTACACCATAATCCTCAAATCCCCACAGCATCAAAATCCTCAAATCCTCAGAACACCAGAATCCTCAAATCCTCAGAACATCAGAATTCCCAAATCCTCAGGACACGAGAATCCTGAAATCATGAGAACACAATACTTAATCCTCGAATCCTCAGAACACCAGAATCCTCAAATCCTCAAAATACCATAATCCTCAAATCTTAAGAGCGTCAAAATCCTCAAATCCTCAGAACACCAAAACCCTCAAATCGTCAAAACACCAGAATACTCAAATCCTCAGAACACTATAATCTTCAAAACACCATAATCCTCAAATTTTCAGAAAACCATAGTCCTCAAATCCTCAGTTCATCAAAATCCTCAAATCTTCAGAACACCAGAACCCTCAAATCGTCAAAACACCAGAATACTCAAATACTCATAACACCATAATCCTCAAATCCTCAGAGCATCAATATGCTCAAATTCTCAGAACACCAGAATCCTCAAATCCTCAGAGCATCAAATTGCTCAAATCCTCAGAACACCATAATCCTCAAATCCTAAAAGCGTCAAAATCCTCAAATCCTCAGAACAGTAGAATCCTCAAATCCTTAGAACAGCAGAATCCTCAAACCCTGAGAACTCCAGAATCCTCAGATCCTCAGAACACCATAATCCTCAAACACTCAGAGCGCCATAACCCTCAAATACTCAGAACATAATAATCCTCGAATTTTCAGAATAATAGAATCCTCAAATCCTCAGTACACCATAATCCTCAAATCCCCACAGCATCAAAATCCTCAAATCCTCAGAACACCATAATCCTCAAATCCTCAGAGCATCAATATGCTCAAATTCTCAGAACACCAGAATCCTCAAATCCTCAGAGCATCAAATTCCTCAAATCCTCAGAACATCATAATCCTCAAATCCTAAAAGCGTCAAAATTCTCAAATCCTCAGAACAGTAGAATCCTCATATCCTTAGAACAGCAGAATCTTCAAACCCTGAGAACTCCAGAATCCTCAGATCCTCAGAACACCATAATCCTCAAACCCTCAGAACGCCATAACCCTCAAATCCTCAGAACATAATAATCCTCGAATTTTCAGAATAATAGAATCCTCAAATCCTCAGTACACCATAATCCTCAAATCCCCACAGCATCAAAATCCTCAAATCCTCAGAACACCGGAATCCTCAAATCCTCAGAACATTAGAATTCTCAAATCCTCAGGACACGAGAATCCTGAAATCATGAGAACACAATACTTAATCCTCGAATCCTCAGAACACCAGAATCCTCAAATCCTCAAAATACCATAATCCTCAAATCCTAAGAGCGTCAAAATCCTCAAATCCTCAGAACACCAAAACCCTCAAATCGTCAAAACACCAGAATACTCAAATCCTCAGAACACTATAATCTTCAAAACATCATAATCCTCAAATTTTCAGAAAACCATAGTCCTCAAATCCTCAGTTCATCAAAATCCTCAAAT